AAAAGAATCTCCAACTGATAAATCATTATGACATTATAAATAATCTTTCATCTTCTTTGGTGGTCTGTGAGGTTCACATAATTAGAGGGTTAAAAACCTTTTTTTGTTTCTTCTTTCTTCCCATGTCATTAATATAGTAGGAGACCATAAAGAAGTGCAGCCAGAAGGGGTTTAACTGTTACTGAGTCAACATTTGACAGTCACACTCTATTCTGTCATTTCATGCATGTGCTTTTTATGAGTTTTATAGCTTTGTGAGCTTTATTTCAGGGATGTGCATTATGATAGCTGATCCACAGCCCATCTCTTTGTGTATGTTTGTCTGGTAGAGACCAAAGCTCATCACTTAGCTGAATCCCAGTTTCAGGGAGTAATAGAAGACTTATGTACTCATGCACTGTTTAATTTAGGATTAGGTAACTAAGGAAATATCTACCTCTAAAGTACAGTTTGTGTGTTCCTTTGTTTTGACTGCTCCGTGAAATATCAACATAGGATGCCTATTAGAAACTTTGCAAAAATAGTGAATTCTCAGTTGTTTTTGATGTTTTTTAAGTTGAAATAATGGAGTAGGGAAATTTTTTCAGTTAAAATATGTACTAGACTTACAGTCTGGAACTGTAACTCATCATGCCTGAGTATGAAATTGAAATAATAAACAATGATCAAATATATTGTGGTAAATGGTAGGAAAAAGAGGGAGAACTTTTGACAATATTTAGAGTTGTTACTGAAATTCCCTTTTTTAATGCATATTTGGTCATACAGAATAGAGTTTATCATCATAACAGACTACTTAATACTCAAATTTAACTATTTCTATAATTATTACATGTTAGATTCCCTGTCTTTTCAATTTTCCCCATTGACATTTTAAAAATAATATTAAAAATATATCTATCTTAAACTTTTCAAAGTAATGAGAATCTAGCATGTTTAACTATCATTTTACAAACTAGGATTCTGGAACTCAAGGAGGATAATTAATTTGTCTAAAGCAATATGGCTAATATATATGGCAGAGAGTTTGGTTAAAATGTGATATTCCTGATGCCAAAACTCATTATTTTCTAACCTCAAAAATGTCCTCTTCCCATGAATCCCTGTGGCCTTTCGTCATTTAGAATGGTTTTTGGCTTAGAAGTATGAATTGATACTGACCACTTCCAATCAACAAAGTGTCCATATCTCTTTAGCTGTTTCTTGGCTGTCCTTTTTGATTCCCACCATAGCCTGGGATTATGTGCAAAGAGTACACATGCTGTTTTCCATTATGCAAGTCTGTGGATAAGTCACAGATCACAAGACCAGCTACCAAGTCCCCCAAGTGAATATTAATACATTAATAATAGTTTTCTGTATGTCAGATTTTGGAGTTATTCATTTGCACCCAGGAAACCATGCGGTCTACAACTTTCTTCTGTTGATGAGATACAATTCACTTGGATCTTTTTTCAAGTCAACATAAAATCAGAAGATTTTTTCAAGTCTGTTTTTAAACAGACTTAACCTAATGTTTCTCCTTGATCTCAGCAAACCTGCAGAGTTGTAAAGACGTGATTAGGTAGATAAGACTCATCTTTCCAAAGGAATCTAGTTGTTATCCCATTGCTAGTTTTTATTCAGGAGAGAAAGCATGCAGGTCATCTTATTTGGCCCATACCCCGGAACTTTAACATGTTGACTACTTTGTTGTAATTAATCTACTTTTGCCCTCTATTCTGACATCATTCAGGGCATTTAGAATTTTGGAGAGTATTCCTTTAAATGTATTTACTTTTCTTCTTTTTTTTGCTTTCTCTCTAATAAAAAGAAGGTAAAGGAGAAAAGACCAATGACTCTTGTCATTTTCATATCAGCATTTCTAAGTGCTGGGCTGGATTTGTGTTCCAGAATACAGATCTTTAAATCGGGGAAGGGGATGCTATTTTTCTGCACAAACTCTTGACTAACATGATTTTTATCAGAGTCATGATTTTTATCATATTATAAGATTGATATCACTAACATGATTTTTATCAGATTATAAGATTGGTAAAAAATGGTCACTTGTGCCCATCAACATATATTTGTTTTCCCAAAATCAGTTTCTTGGGTGTTTCCCATTTTCAACATCTTCCCTCTTAACCCTCTGCTTACCTGAAATCTACTGTCCTTGTTTTGTTCCAGTTGCCTCTATTTAGAAAAGATTATTTTATTTATAAGAACTTTGAGAATCAAAATATTACCTTTTCCAGTAGTATTTGCTCTTATGAACAGACACTTTTAGAAAAGGAAATATTTAACCCACAGAACAGAATCTCAAATGGTTGAGCTTTATACATGATAGTGCATAGGTGAACCCTTCAGAGAGGGGATGGCCAGAGACAGGTGGGATTAAAAGGATAAAGTAGGAGAGATTTTTCTAGTGTATCAGTACTTCTGCTTTATAGCATTTAGCTGATTCTTTCCCCTCCTATATGCCATTCAGTTGAATTTAAACTTTTGGGAACTATTCTTAAATCCAATTCATTTTTTTTGGTGGTTCAATATATTACCTAGACACCTAACCACATATGAATTTATATCTACTTTTATACATAAGTACTATGTATCAACTTTATAGGATCAGTTTTCATATGGAATTATAGGATAATTATTTTTTACTTAAGTTGTTATTATCTCCTCCTCACATCAGTTTCTTTGTCTTCTGAATGTATTGTCCACACTTTTTTAAAAAATGTGGCAACGTTATCATTTTGATTTACATGCCATTGTAATCTGCTTTAATTAAAGGCATACCTCATGTTCTCCAGTTCCTGCAGTCACCTTTCCTTTGGCCTGTTCACATGTCTGTTAGCTTAAATTACTATACAAAAAACTTAAATTTATATAAATAGTATAAATTACTACACTATTACGAGAAAGTATAGCTTGCTGTGTCGACTTCCACTATGTGCCACTGACATCCTCTTGAGAAGCATAGTAAGTTTTACTTTTGGGTAGCTAATCATTTTATTAATATTAGGCGCATTAGTGGTGGCTAATTATAGGTTACTTATTGTAAAAACTGAGTGTCACTTTCCTGCTCATATTTGTTAATTTTAGTCTCTTGGTAAGACAGCATGGCATCTGTAGAGCTGAACTCAGAACCTTGGAAGTCGCTTAACGTGTCATACTTTTTCTACTTTGATTGAGTTCATTTTGCTTTTTCGTCTTGAAAGACTTTTCTTCAGAATGGAAAACTCTCTAGAAAATGTGTAGTATTATTGCCCTATACTGTTAAATCAAAAGCTAAGAGGTGATCCAAGCCCAGTACATTCCTCAAAGAGAGTACAGTAAAGTCTTCATTGACCCGAGGACTGTCAGACCATGTTGATGGAATGTGTGTGTGTGTGTGTGTGTGTGTGTGTGTGTGTGTGTGTGTGTGTGTGTGTGTTTTCAAATGTAACTGTCTTTTGTTTTAACAGCTACATTTACTGTAAAGAAAGTCTGTTAAGCTGGTGTCCTTGATGCTCCTGAGCTCAGCTGAATATATACAGCTGACTCTCTCAGCAAAAGACATCCAAAACATATAAAGCAGCTGAAAACAACAACTTCACACACAAAACAAATCGAGTCAGATTCTACAGTGTTAAATGCGTAACTTATTTCAACTTTAATACTATTTAATTCTATAGAACTAAAGTTAATACGAACTATTTTGTCCCAGTTTCTCTACTGTATTTTTACTGATTGACAATTTAAAAATAGTTTTCTATTAAATAATGTACATACTTTGATGAATAGAGTACAGGAGTTCCAAGGCCACTGGCTTAAGAGACTTTTTAATCTAGTATGCACAATTGTCACATTGTCAGAGACTTCATTGAGATAAAGTGTGTACTGTGTGAAGAATTTCAATATCTTATTAGTTCTTGGTGGGAACATTAGTTGGGCCCTTTACCTGTAATACAATTATCTTAAATCATTGATTACTTTCTGTGAACATTTTATTGTGTCAATAGCAGTTCTGCAGTGTATGTTGTTCACTAGTATGATTCATGACTATGTTCCTCAGAAAATGAGGTGAATAATTGTAAAGAAACCTGAGACAATGTGATGAGATCCAATGGATGCTTTTCTTAAAACTGTTTTGCTACTACATCAATGAGACCAATGCTGGAGAGTTCAAGAGAAAGTTGTCAGCCGTTCATTATATGCTTTTTCTGTTCCTAAAGTCACCCAGTTTCTTAATTTGACAGTAGTTTAATGTCTCATATGGTTTAGATTAAGCATTATATTTTTCTTGAAAATAATTTATTTTGTAATGCCATGTTCTCCATGAATGTGAATCGTGCACTGCATGCTTAAACAACTTGATGTCTCTGTAGATCTAATTTTGGTATATTTGTATCTCAAATAATTCGCCAACTCAATATTTTGGCTTAGCAATCCAAATCAAATTGTGGTCCAAGTAGCAGGCACTCACATTGGATGTACAGAGACTTGACAAGCAATTAGCAATGAATATTTAAACGTCTTCATTACCCTTGCATGAGGAATACAGATGGCATTTGGGAAGATGGCAACCAGAGGGCACTACTGTGAATTATGTTTCTATTATTTGGTCACCTGACTATTGGAAGACTTTCTCTGGGCTTCATGCCACTCCTATACTTCTACTGTCTGGCCAAAAATAAAGCAGACATTCCAAATGTAAAACAGGTTGCTTCCATGAAATTTCTATGCACATTTTGTAATTTGGGACGGTTGTCTCCAAGGATCCCGGCATATATCCTTTAGGCATACCAAACCCAAATGCCAAGACTTTATAGGGGTCTATGAGAATCAGAGCTCCTTCAAAAATCCTGCTGATCATTCTCTTAATGACTTCAGGTTAATGTGCTGAACGTAAAAAGGTGAAGAACTCAACACTGCATCCTTTCCAGGAGCTAATGTATTATATATGGCCCAAGAAAAAGAAAGTCTTCAAATAATTATAATTCCTAGACTGATCTCTCATTATAATTTTTTTAAAGGAAAAAACAACACTGGAGAGTCTGACTCAGCAACTGGCAGTTAAACAGAATGAAGAAGGAAAATTTAGCCATGCAATGATGGATTTCAATCTGAGTGGAGATTCTGATGGTTTGTGAAAATTGTTCATATATATTCTAATAATGTGAGAAAGTGTCTATGTAGTGCCAATTAAAACTGCTAAAAAATAGACTAGACAGCCACCTCATACCTGATCATTACCTTAAGAGGTCACATATACTGAGCAGTTCCCATGTGCCAAGCACTCTGCTGAGTGCTTTGCATAAATCATCTCATTTAATTCCTAGTCAGGCCCATTGCAGAGAAAGAGTCTGAGCCTCAGGAGTTTTGAAGCATTTTCCCCACGTCACAGGACTCTAAGTGCCAGAGACAGGAATTTAAATCGAGATGGCAGGATTCTAAAGCAAATGCTCTTGATCATCATCTTCCCCATTCCTCTCCTCGCTTCCCTATTTCTTTCCTTCTTTGTCTTTTTTTTTTTTTTTTTTTTTTTTTTTTTTTGACAGAGTCCTGCTTTGTAGCCCATGCTGGAGTGTAATGGTGCAGTCCCAGCTCACTGCAGCCTTAGCTTCCCAGGCTCAAGTGATCCTCCCACCTCAGCCTCCCATGTAGCTGGGAGTATAGGAGCATGCCAACATGCCCAGCAATTTTTTTTTTTTTTTAAGAGACAAGGACTCACTATGTTGTCCAGGCTCGTCTCAAAGTCCTGGGCTTGAGTGATCCTCCCACCTCAGCCTCCAAAAGTGCTAGTATTATAGGCGTGAGCTACTGCACGTGGCCTCGCTTCCCTATTTCTTGTACCCAAAATGAACTTTTTCAGAAATTTGTTTCTATTGGCTCATTTTTAAGTTTCCATTTGTCAAGCCCTGACCAGAATACATGGCTCAGAGGACATTTCCAGGATAGTTTCTTCCATTTTGGAACCCTTCTCCCCAGTGCTATATACTGCATAGTCAAGTGTCCTGCCCACTCTCTCTAACCTAGCTAGAATTCAGCTGCACAACTTTATGCTCCCCTCTCCTAAGCCTCCAGACTTCTGTTTTCTGTATCATCTCTGAATATTCTAAACATCCACAGTGACAACAAATTAAATCGATACTCTGATTTTTAAGAGCATAGCAAAGAGGGAAAAAGAAGAAGTGCTGTTCTTCTTATACAATATCCTGGCTGGGAGCCTGTCTCTACTGTCAGGTGGCATCCATGCATGTTAAGCATTCCTTTGGTGGTACCGACCTCAACTTTGGTACTACTACAGGGAATTTCCCTGCATAGAGAGAAGAGTGCACAAGGGCAAACCAGTGAGATGCATATTTTGAGAGGGGGCCCCCTTGAATCCTTCAATATACACAGCTCTCTACTCTGTGCCTTGAGCCAATTCTACTTTTAAAACCAGGTCTATACTAGTCGAGGGACTAAACAAACCTGAACGTTGAAACACATAATTCTATCAAAGCTGATTTTTATTCAATTGGATTCAATTTGCATTTTCCTGTGTCTAATGTTGCAAATATTTTCTTCTCTTTTCTGCTTCACTTAGCTGAGATAAACCGAGTCTATGTACATTTAAAGAGCTTGTTTAGATTTGATGAAGACACATAATGTTCATTTTATTGCTTATGTTGCTGTAAGGTGTAAGAACAAGAAAAGGCAGATGTGCAAATGATCATTTGCTAGTTACAAACCCATTTTAGGAAGATGTTGCCATATATTTGCACTTATTTTGTCAATAAAAGACAATTACTGGTAATAACACATTTCATAAATTTTAAGTTGTATTAGCATGATAAAATATACCCACAGTAATCAGCATTAAAACATCAAAGTTTTTGTTGCTGTCACTGGCTAAATTCAATCGTGCTTGTTTGTGAAATATTTTCCACTTTTCATTAAACCAAAGAGCATGTTATTAATGAGAAATATTGAGAAACTTCACCAACAGGTATGCTATGCTTTGAATGTGCTGCTATAGAGGTCCTTAAGTTTGGGCAATTTTGTTTGATTCTTGTGTCTTCAAATTTAAAAAAAAGAAAAGATGAGGAATGACTACAAAGCAAGAAAAGAAAAGCAGTGCTTTTGTTGAGAATACAGTCTCTACAAATCCCCAAAGTATTTTTAAATTTTTAGATACTATCAAAATACATCTATTTATTTTGTGATAATAACCAGTGAAAACCTACTGTCAGAGTTCTACTGGTTCTCCTTATTTTCTCTTTGCCTGAACTCAAGTATCTTAGAAGCTATTTAATCTGCCGAAGCCATTCTAAGGAGCCACATAGGTTGGAGGAGTGAATACAGCTTCCAAAGACATTGTTGTTAACTCTTGAATTGTGTTTTATCATCTGTGAATCTTACTGATTGAAATGTAACTGTCCATGGGACTCTTTGGATAACTTTAAATATTAGGGGGAAGATTCAAAGGAAATTTTTATTTTTCTCATCTTAAACATGTGACTGTAGACTCCTTAAGAAACTAGAGTAATGTTAATTGTTCATTTGTTCTTTTCCATACCATTTTTACATATATTTTTGGGAGCAGACCTGTCATTGCTATATCAGCATATGTCATGCATTTGTCAGCATAGAATTTCAAAGAAAAGCCAATTATATTACGGGGAAATATATATATTGTTTTTAACCTCAAAAATTGGTCAATGTTTTTATTTTTGTAACCTTGGAGAGAGAAAGAGAACATAAGGTATTATATGTTCAGACAGTCTTTAAGTAGCAAAGGTATATCCTCCCCTATAATCATCCATTCTGCCAAATTGATTTGTGCTTCTTTACCTATTTAATATTTCCACACTACTGGTATGCCTATTGATTTAATCTATCCTCTTTCTGAATGGCATCAAAAATCACATATCAGAGTTTATTTTGAGCTGTTGAAAGTAAATGGTGAAACAGTCCATTGAAAGAAAGAGAAAACAGATTAGAAACGGGTTAAAAATACAAATACGACATTTGCCACCACAAGGCTTATCACAAAAACTTCATAAACAAGCATCTGTCTTAAGAACTGGAAGTACCATTATCAGAAGTACTTTTTGTTTCAGATATCTTAATAGACTAAAAAATAGGAATGCGAGGAAAAGAGTTGCCAGAAGTTTTAACACTAACACTAAGTGATATTTCCTGTTTTCAGGAAGTGCTGGAGTTTCAGAGTCAAGAATTTATAGGGAATCCAGAGGGCGTGGCAGCAATGAACCGCACATAAAGCGTCCAATGAACGCCTTCATGGTGTGGGCTAAAGATGAACGGAGAAAGATCCTTCAAGCCTTTCCTGACATGCACAACTCCAACATCAGCAAGATATTGGGTAAGAAAAACATTAAGAACTCAGTGACATATGGAATAAAGGTACTGTTGTGTTTTCTGGAGCTGTGGAAGGATCCTGGATTTGGAGGCCATGCAGGTCATGTTATCTGCTTATCCAGAAAATAAACATCATCATCGAGGCTTCTTCTGGTGATGAAGCATTCTATGTCCATTGAGAAATATACCATATTTCTATACCTCATTTAGCAGTTTGTCTTCATACTAATTATTTTAATGCTTTATCTTCTTCAGAAATCTAGAAATATTTTTACTAAGGCTGAGAAAAAAGTTGCTTTCACGTGAGCCACTAGATATTGCTACTGATCATTTGTACTCATTTCCTTGCATACTAGAGACAAGTTATTGTTAATCTTAAGGCCTCCTTCCTCTCTCATCATCCTCTGTAACAGAAGGATAAGGAGTTTTGTTTGCAGAATTCATCATGTTGTGGGGGTGAGGGTGGAGGTGGGGAAGATGTTTGTTCCAGTGCTATAATTGAAAATCAGTTTTAGATTCTTAGAACACAAGAAGATGTAGAGTGTACATTTTTACATTTATACTTTTAGTAACCTTAAGTACTAAAGGTACTTTTAGTAATACTAAATACTTTTCTGCCATCGCAACATTCAATTTAACAGAAAACAAAGTACACATTTACTCTACCCACATAGACACTGAAGCACACAGAAAAAATGGTTGGGGAGAAAGGGTGCTGATTATAAAGATACCTATTATAGACCAATTCAGGTCCCGGAGGGACGGCGGAGGAAAGAGAAGATTCCATTGCTTTCATGCCTTATCTGACATCATTATCATTGTCATTGTCCCTAACTTCATCACTGCCTTTGTCTTCATCATCTTCATCTTCAAGTAGCCTGATGGCCAGATACGGGACAACATAAGAAAATTTTGATTACTCACTGTGTGACTTCTAAGAGTTAAGTGACAAAAACAGAATAGAACCATTTTATCAGAAAACGTTGGCTTTAACAAATAAGTAACAAAATTTGTCAAAATTATTAAAGTTTTATTAAAATTCATAAGGCACTTGGAATTGCACGGAGTTTATAAAGATAATATCACTTTTGGTTCATTACTGATCATCTATAAATGGCTAACATATACATGAGGTTTTTTGTTTTGTTTTGTTTTGGAGATGGGAATCTTGCTCTGTCACCCAGGCTGGAGTGCAGTGGTGTGATCTCAGCTCACTGCAACCCCCGCCTCCTGGGTTCAAGCAATTCTTCTGCCTCAGCCTCCTGAGTAGCTGGGATGACAGGCACGGGCCAACCATACCTGACTAACTTATATTTTAGCAGAGAAAGGGTTTCACCATTTTGGCCAGGCTGGTCTGAAACTTCTGACCTCAGGTGATCCGCCCTCCTCGGCCTCCCAAAGTGCCGGGATTACAGGCGTAATGCGCCTGGCTGCATGTTTTTATGATCCCATATTCTCAACAAAAGTAATAGATGCCACCTAGTCCACAAGGTCCGTTTGTAATGGGATCGAAATAGAAACCATTAGCCACTTAAAATTGTGTCTCATTTTTCACCTAAATGTTATCTAAAAAGACATGAACATGCAAAGCTTTCAGTAGTATACGTAGAAAATATGAAAATCTGTGTGTAAAAATATATATCATGCATAATCAAAAACTTGAACTGATCAAGAGGAAATACACATTTTTTACATCTCTACCAGCTCTGATCTATTTTTCCCTTTTGTGACTATATTCTACCTTCCATATGAAATTTCCCGTCTTTAAAAAACAACATACCAGTTTCATTTGGAAAAACCCTAGAAAAGAATACTTTATGTAAGCATATTTCACGTTTTAATATATCAGTTATTCCCAAATTAGAAATCCAAAATTGTCAGAATAAAAAACTAGTTGAATACTAAGATTTCAAAACTCTCTTTATATTACTCAATTCATGTGTCTGAATACCAAAAACGTGATAATTATTAATTAAAACTATCTTGACTGTAAGCGAAATATCAGTTTTGATGATAGGAAATGATATTTTAGGAAATGCAGCAAAAGCCTCTATGGAAAAGAAACGGCTGGCTAAGAGAATTCCCTTCTGATGTGAGGGAAAGAGTATTAGAATGACCATACGATTATATTATAATAGAAAACATGAAAGAGAATACTGTCTAATTTCAGTCTTTCTGATGAAAATGTATTCTTTAAAGATGTAGCATTTATATTTGGGAACAAATAAAACATTGAGGTGTTGTGGGCCTCAATATTTAGTCACAGCTTTAAATAAATAAGTGATCTTCAAATATCCACAAGATCATTCTAAATGACCCATTTCATACAAAAGTACAAAGAAAGCCTGATGTTTTCCTCTTTGCTGATTGTTTTGGACAGCAGCCTCCGACAGCAGCCTCCGACAGCATGCCGCTAATTCATTCTCCTTAAAACAGGCGCTCGAGCTGGGTTGACATTTTACGTAGTCTCTGGGGATCCCGGTTGACATTTTAAAGGGCTTCTAAGCATTTTATAATACCCTAAAATCTGGTTTTAATAAGCCATTCTGCTGAAATTGTTAACATAAGGAATCACCTTGTACTGCTTGGCGCTAGATCAGGGGATGAGGGACATCTTTTTCTGATTAGATATACAGTAGTTGGAGTAAAATGTGCAAATTCACTACAGACCCCATGGAGATGACAATGTTGCTCAGCCCAAACTCTTCACTTTCAGTGGATTGCCAGATTTAGAAAGGAAAGGAATAATCAAAGGACCTTATTTTTTCCCCTATTTTGAGCATCAAATACTTTTGATTGAAACTTCCTCTCTTGTCATCAGGAGGAAAACCCAATTGTCCTTCCCTGCTTTTTTATTCTAAAAGAACAACCTTTTGAAAGCAGCAGGGTAAACTCCCTGTACAACAGTCCAGAGTAAGCAGCCAGCCACGCCCAAATCAAGTAGATTTGTTTTATCTTTTTTTTTTTTTTTTTTTTTTTTTTTGGTGATATCCAAAATGCTTTCCTACCATTCTCATCAAGTGTGTTTCAGGGGTTAGTTAACACCTCAGCTGCCTACAATGGTTATTGTACCTGCAAAGCCATTGAAATCAAAGCCAAACTTTTCAGTTGGTTAACCTAATTTGAGGGTAGGATGTTGAAATGAAACTGGATTTACCACCAAATGGAAATACTGCCCTGTACTGTCTTAAAATGTAGTAGTCAGCCATTTGACCCAGTTAGTGCTTAGGCTATCTTGATTCTTAGTTTTGAAAACACTTGGATTTATATGGCCATATTTTAAAGTGTAATTTAGGAGTCAGTGATACTCTTAAAGAAATTATACTGTCAAGAGTTAAACTATTTTATAATTCCCGTTCATGCCAGATTTGGAAGCCAACTTATCTGAGAATTTACACATCTTTTATTATCCCATTTCTTTATATACATGCATCTTTTTTTCCTCTTTTTTTTTTCTTAAGCCAGACCAGCTTTCTTTAAGTTAGTCTAATTCCTCTTTCCACTGAAAGACCTCAACTATTGTATTCCTCCTCAATAGGATGTTCTTCTCTCTGTGAGCCCCATGGGAGTAATTTCTACAGCAAAACCTTCCTGACCCGCAGAGGATTGATCTTGCCTCCGTATCATACCCTCCTGCATTTTCCACAACTATAAGGAAAATAATAAATTTTGTAATTAGATATTTATTATATATTCCCTGACTGATATAAGCTCCAAAAAGACAGGAACTGTAACTTTCTTATTTACTCACTACTACATATTCAGTAATTAATACAACACTATGCACATAGCAGGAAATACACAAACAGCTCTGGCATTCCAAGGCAGATTACTTCAAAGCATAAATATTTTCTTTCCTTTGAGAGGCCAAAGCCTTTTGGCATTTATATCATTTAAACTTAGGGAAGAATCTTGGTCAATTCCTCTTCTAATTGAAAATACTGGTTTCGTTTTTGAATTTTGAGATAATGATAGCTAACAAATTTTATATTAGATCAACCATCCTTGATCCATTTTTCAGTGTATTCCTATTTGTGAGTTATTTATGGCAAGCTCACTTTCCACTCCCTGATCTGAAGTTCAAAAAACTGGTATAAATGCTTGGAAGAAAATCCATTGAAACGGTTGTTCTAGTTCAATAGGATCATAACCATATCTGTGTTTATATAGGTCCTGAGACTAACATAATGGTATTCAAGAATCTTCAGAGAATAATGCTGGGCCAACAAGGAGTTTGAGATTGTACCTACAAATGATATGGCTTGACCAACCAACTTAAAATGTTGGATGATGCTATTTAAACAGAAGTTTAAGAAAGGAATAAAAAAAATAAATAAATAAATTTTAAAAAACTATTATTTGAACTGTAACCTGAGTTTATATTGTAAATAGAATAAATTCATATTGGCTTTCTAGATTTGGAAAAATCTGTATTTATACCTATGTAATACAATATCTCTTCCAATGGAAACATTTCTAAGGGAAGACATATTGCCTCTTTCACTGCATGCTTTAATAAATCTAACAGCCCATATTGAGGCACTCTCTACATGTGTAAGAAAGAACTATTCAACAGTGAGCTATTTGCATTTAAGATACGGAGTTATGGGTGAGTAATGAACTCATTTGAAAGCTTCTAAGATCTTACTTAGATGACATTTGAAGGCAGGTATAAGACTATTTGGTAGGGATATCCTAGTTCCAGTTTTTCAGTCTTTATGCACTCGTGTTGATTTGAGATGACTGTTTGCAGATAAACACACTTCATCTGCAAATAGATTCTTAAATCTCTCTTAATAAAAAAAAATTACTACTACTTCTATTACACATAGCCATAATGACAGAATCCAAGTTTTAAACCATATCTAAAATGTGAATTAGCGTAAACTATTTTTATTTAAGCTTCAAACTTGTCTCTTTTAATCCCAACTAAATTCACACCAAAATTAATAGTGAAAAGAAAGGGGAAAAACAATTTGGGTTATTATTACTAATGCAGACTGTATCATGGGAAGTGACATCTTTGTATGTTATTGAAATTGATTAAGAGAAAATCATAATACACATTTACTGTAATTGTGACCTCTGCTATATTTTATATAGTAGGTGGCCATATGCAGGAAAGGGCGTACATTATAGCACAATGTAAGTTATGTCAAATCTGAGTTTGAGTCACAGATCTGCACTTCAATAATTATAACCCTGGCTAAGTTAGTTCATCTATTTGAATCTCAATTTTCTCATCTATGAAAATAGAAATGCTGTCTATTTTATAAGATTGAGGTGAAAGGTAGGAAAAAGATAACATATGTCAAGGTTTTAGCACAGTGTCTGGCACATAGCAGTTACCCACTCCATGTTCATTAATACTGTAATTTTAATTATAAAGTTTTAATAAAATGAATTTTTAATTAGTACCATTCCTGTAAGCTTAAAATACTTAAACATTTTGGGGAGGATGAGACTACATGAGATATGTTGGGAACTTTTATAGTAAAAAACATCTCCCACATAAAAATACTCAGTAACTGGATAGTCTCAGATTCAAAATGTATGATAACATAGCATGTAACTTTTCTGTTCACAGGTGAATTATATCATGATCTAATGTAGAAATGAGAAATATATCCATTAAATTATCTATGAGCTTTAAGGTACATAATACAAAAGTTTGACTAGAATGCAAGCCAGAAAGAAAAAAAAATACTGCCCAGTGTTTATATCTTTAGGTACAAAACCACCACCACCTCTGTTCTTGTGGGATCTCACTAATCAAAAACAGGTTTATGTATTTCTGGGTTTTGGTCAACATCTGTACTTTAGATTTTCTTGTTCTCAGCTATATCTCTTTTAGAATGCTTAGAAGCTGTGCAAATTGGAATCCTAACCTCCTTTCTTCATAGGATCTCGCTGGAAAGCTATGACAAACCTAGAGAAACAGCCATATTATGAGGAGCAAGCCCGTCTCAGCAAGCAGCACCTGGAGAAGTACCCTGATTATAAGTACAAGCCCAGGCCAAAGCGCACCTGCCTCGTGGATGGCAAAAAGCTGCGCATTGGTGAATACAAGGCAATCATGCGCAACAGGCGGCAGGAAATGCGGCAGTACTTCAATGTTGGGTATGGACCTTTTAGTCATTTTTCTCATGGAGCAAACTTCCTGTTATACTTAATGGGATGTGAAACATATTTGTTCAGTTGCAAAGAGGCATTTTGAAAAAGAATCTGAGCTCAGAGTATTTTCAGGGACAAATAATCTCCCACATGATCTTGAAAAATATGTCCGTATGAATCCACTGCAAGTTCCTAGCTCTAACATGAGATCTGTTAACAACTGGCTTAAAAACAAGATATCCACGAGTAAATAATTTTGAAGTTTTCCATTAAAAACTCAGAAGTATAACTGGTTCTTTTCTTCGTTGGTTTGCATTACTTCCTAAGCTTCACCATGATAAATTCTAAAACTAACAACTTTACTGAGATGATACAAAATAAAAATCATTTCAAAATAAAAAAAAATACTTATTTCTAAATATAGAGAGGTTAGTGAACTATCAAGGTACATGTGTGACCTTTGTGGATTGCACAAGCTAGGGATTCTACTTAGGGCATAACAAGGTTGTGAACAGGAGGTTTCATTCTGAATTGAGAACGCAGCTCCGAGATGTTTTACAATGCTCCCGTGGCAAGGTTGTTGACAGTGTTGTAGATGTGCTACAGAAATGCATTGCTTCTAGAGAATTCTCTCAAAAAAACCCAAAATAAAGTTGTTCATGTTTGAAACAGAAGTTAGTTTCTAAGAGTTCTTAGAATAATGAATATTGTTCTAAATGTGGGCAGAGAAAAACTCATAAAAACCTTTTCAAATCTGCTCTGTCCCCTCCAGTTCCTTGGAATAGGCTGCATGCTCTGTCCAGGGCTCTGTGATATTGCAAGCATGTGACTCCTTACAAAGCTAAACACAGAGCCCAACAGTTCTTGGGCAAATACTAAACATATGAATGAATAAAAGCATAAATGAACATCATCTCTTCATCCCTTCCAATAGGACCACCTACGTTATTTATAGGACTAGGTGCAAAAATGAGGAGACAGGGTCTCTTGTTAAAAAGTTATTAAGAATTTCAAGTCTGTGGCAGCACAACTTGAAATCAAGTATGAGACCTTAGCATAGCTGCACAGTTTGTACATCCATGAAGCTGGTCCTGCCTCCTACCACTACAAGGCCAAAACTGTTTCAGAGACTCAGTGGATAGTGTGAATTTGTTCAGCTCTGCTGTGTTCTGGGCAGTAAAGTTTTATTTTGAGAACTCTAATGTTTTAGGATTTTCCCATTAAAATTTAATTATCTTTACATTTAATTCTGGGGAAAAATGCTATTTCTGTATGTTATAGTGAAGGAAAACTGAACTTGGAATTAATGACCTGGGTTCTTCTGCTTCAACTTTCTGCACCTCAGTTTTTTAATAAAACAGTAGTAACAAAACAGGATTAAGAATAAGATGGGACAACACATGTAAATGTCTTGTACTCTATGAAGCACTCCATAGAAGTACGGTATTAGGCCGGGCGCAGTGGCTCACGCCTATAATCCCAACACTTTGGGAGGCTGAGGCAGGCAGATCACCTGAGGTCAGGAGTTCGAGACCAGCCTGGCCAACATGGTGAAACCCCGTCTCTACTAAAAAGACAAAAATTAGCCAGGTGTGGAGGCAGATGCCTGTAATTCCAGCTACTTGGGAGGCTGAGGCAGGAGAATCGCTTGAACCCGGGAGGCAGAGGTTGCAGTGAGCCAAGGTCATGCCATTGCATTCCAGCGTGGGCAACAAAAGCAAAACTCCATCTCAAAAAAACACAAAAACAAAAACAAAAAAAACAACAAGGTATTAAAGTCAAAGTAGGATACAGTCTGAAAAATGTTGGGCAATTAGATAAAATTAGTACCTTAGAATTGGACATTGCTGAGCAAATTAATTATGTAATAAAGTCCACATCTAACTATTCACTCACCCATGATATCTTTTTGGGAATTCCTTTCTTGACAGGCAACAAGCACAGATCCCCATTGCCACTGCCGGTGTTGTGTACCCGGGAGCCATCGCCATGGCTGGAATGCCCTCCCCTCACCTGCCCTCGGAGCACTCAAGCGTGTCTAGCAGCCCAGAGCCTGGGATGCCTGTTATCCAGAGCACTTATGGTGTGAAAGGAGAGGAGCCACATATCAAAGAAGAGATACAGGCCGAGGACATCAATGGAGAAATTTATGATGAGTACGACGAGGAAGAGGATGATCCAGATGTAGATTATGGGAGTGACAGTGAAAACCATATTGCAGGACAAGCCAACTGATAAGGGTCAAAAGATTGTTGTGACCTTAGGACTTAAAGAAGCCCTAACTGGTTCATCCTTACCAGTGGCCAAGCACATTAACTTTCTCATACACTGACTGTTACTTTAACTGTTAGTCTTAAATAGTTGGGACATCAGCTGACTAATAGACCTCAGCCTCAAAAGGCTTGGAAAGAAAAAAAAATACAACAAGCAAACAACAATATCAACAACAAGAGATTGAAATAAGCTATGGGTAAAATAATGCCAGTAATTCAGCTGCTACATCCAAGCACTGAAGTCTTACCCGTCAACTTTTTTTTTTTTTTAAATAAACTTTATGGCTGTTTGTTCTACAATGTTCTAGAAATTCTCACTCAGGTACACAGTGCCAACAAGTGGCTTGTGAATGTGTTTTGTTGTTTTGTGCTACAATTTTTAAAAAGAAATAAGTTTTGTTTTGTTTTTTGGGGTTTCTGGGTTTTTTCCTTTTCTTTTTCTTTCCTTTCATTTTTTTTTCTTTGTAATGCACCTGACAGAAAAAAAAGAAAAATGAATTTCTCTTTACTTCTCTCCACCTTCTCCATCTCTATACTTTAAAGATGGAAGTCTGTGCATGAGGGGGAAGAGGGAAAAAGAGCCTGTTTTTAACTTCCTTGCTATCCACCACAAAATAAGCAATTATTTTCTTTAGAGGACTTTCTTTATCTATTGCACACCACACTACATCTTTGAGCAAGTGCCAAATTTGTACTGAAGTGTTGACCAAGTTCATTTTTTCCCTTTACTTTTTCCTGTTCCTTCTTAAGTTAGGACAGTGTTAAATCTTAGACAATCCCTGAAAAACCTGAAATACCAGCAGCTGGTGAGATTTGACTTTTTTTTTAATGGAAACTGTAGGTGCTGTTCTCAGGTGAAAAGAGAGAGAGAGACATAAGAAATTTAGAGAAAAATATTTTCTGATCTTGGATTTTTGTGTGTATGTATGTGTGTGATTATGGTACTAATAGGAATAACGTTGGACCATTGTGAGTTAAACCCACATCTGGGGATGAAATCCCACATCCTCCCAAGTGACTGGTCTAGAAATAATCTTGACCTTGACTTTGCACTTCAAATGACAACTTAACCAAGTATAGGGCTCAGAAATTATATTTTTAAATGTCTAATATGATGATTATTGGATGGATCAGGTGGCCCTGTGTAATAGAGGTGTGCATGTATAACATGGAAGCTACTAGCAAACTGCTCCCAGATGTCCTTTCTCCCTGGTCAGTTGGTTCCATTAACGTTTGCTACTTAGTGATTTTTGTTTTTCCTGTTGATATTTCGAGCAAAACAATCATTGTTTTCATTGAATATATTTGGCCATTTTTCAGACAAATAGAATTAGCTTATTTCTTCAACATTCCATCCTTTCCCGATCAGGAAATGAAACTGATGATTTTACAAGGTATTTTTCACCCCTCCATGAAACGAGGTGGAGGCCTTTAGCATTTCAGAAGTGTGGGCCATGTGTAGTTCATGCCATAAAAAGTAGGATTTAATTAAAAGTCATTGCAGTCCAACAAAATGGAGCCTGGCTGCACCCAGGGATTCTTGTCACTGCTCTTCCCTTGCTGTCAGATGAATCCACTGAAGTCCAACTTTGGTTCGAGCAGAGTATTTGCGAAGAGCAACAACTGAATGTGATGGGACTGCTTATGTAGATTTTGCCAGCCAAATGCCAAGGCAGTTGTAGGGCCTGTACAAATAAATGCAAAATCATTTCAAGTCAATTGCCATTATTTGTACTGAAGTATCAGATAGTAAATACTGCAACTAGTAGCTCGATGTGCTATAGTTTTCACTCCAGTCATCATTTTCCTATCTCACCCCCCGAAACACCACCCTAAAGTTGGATTTTTACATATAAATAATGAAAAAAAAGAATCCCTTTCATTTTTCTCTCTCTCAGAAGACTTGCTCTGGGGTTTTGCTTGGAGGAGCTGATCATAGCCTGCATGTCAGAGCTTTCATTTTGTTTGTTTTTCTGTTTGTTTTTGATGACTTTATTTTCATTTGAACTGCCTCTTTTTGCTAGTGTTGTAATAATGATGATGATGATAAAATAATAATAATAATAGTAATAATAATAATAATGGTCAGCTGTTCCCAGATTAGTAAGTTATGTATAATTTATTTTATTTCTCCCTTTCTATTTTATTCTGCTCTGATTTGGAAGTGCAGCCAATAAGCTGTTAGATATTTAAAACAAATTTCCATCTCCAACTCATATATGTATGTATATGTATATATATACATATATATATACACACACACACACATTTACCCACAATTTTACTTCTCCTTCCATAAGTTTTCTCCTTTTTAAGAATTTTGGCCCCAACAATATCAGTTCTGATGTTTAAAACAAAGGAGTGAATTAATAGGAGGGTCGTGTTCAATCTTAATTAACTTATGCTCTCATCACTCATTTTAGTTATTTAATTGCCACAGTCATCTAGAGCCAATTTTTTTTTTGTTTCTGTTTGTTTTGTTTTCAAGCACTCTGGATAAGGAAAAAATAGACACTTGTTTTTATATCATTTTTATGTACAATGTGAAAACAGATTTTTAAAAAATTTGTTCTCTGTCTTTGTTAACAAATTCCTTCTGATTTATGTGGGTTCACCTCTCACGTTTGCTGGATACTTACTTTACACCATGTTATAAAAGATGCTTTGTTTTCATTTCATGACTTTGGGCTACAAGAATACTTTGTTTTAGCTCCAGGTAGATGCCATTGAAGGCATTCGTGGCTGAAACCAATTCTAACACACTTACCAGTGAATTGACAACACGTTGGTGTTTAGTCTTTTTTTGTTGTTGTTTTATTTTGTTTTATTTGAAGGGGAAAACAAAATTGTTAATGGTGACTTTTAACTGCTGAAATTCAAAAGTTGATTTTAGTTAGGTTTATGTCCGAGACTAAACTGTGCATGAACTGAAACAAAAAGCAAGTTCATAGCCCTGCATTCTGTTCTCTTGTTCTGACGGTTAATTCACTGGATATCAAATTTTCTTTGCCCTAGTTTTCCCCAAAGGAAAACAAAAGCAAAAATAGTTATATCAATATTGAAAGTGCTTTGAAGTCACTTGATAAAAGGTGCTATGAATAGCAACTTACTGTGTTACTACATTGCCTTTTTGGCATTGGTTGATTTATAATTTTGGTAAAGGATCCTAAAACCCTGTATTCTTTTTCTGTGCCTCATAATGACCAAAAAAGATAAAGAAAATGAGAGTAAGATCAAAAGATCAAACTAAAACATAAACAGTCTCCCTCCTCTCTGCTTTCTTATCTGTCTGTTCACACTTTATCTCTTTTCCTTTCTCCCTTTCTCACATGCACACACACACACACACACACACACACACACACACCACACTTGCCCCGACACTGAGAAATAATCTTGCCAGAATTCTGGTTTTTAATGTTGTTGTAGTCAGTTTCTCTAAAAATAGTCCTGTTTTCATATGAATCTAAGACAACATCACTGGAGAAAATGAAGTTACTTATTTATAGTTACTAATAATAACTTAGTGATTAAGTTACTACAATTGGATAAAATACAAAACTATTCTTCAGTACATTTATACCTAAATTACTGAAGTCCATTTTTAAAGTTCATTTGGCATCTGCAGTTAAGAGTTAACCATGTATAAAATCCCTCCCAAAGAACATAATCATCATTGTTAAAACCAAATCCTCTTATAAAGAACAAATATAAAAAAAAAAAAGTTTTCTTTGGTGAAGCTATTTTATAGATTTGATTTCTGGAGTAGAATTTTACCTTAATTCATCTAAAGAAAATTAACCATTTTTTGGTCCAACTTCAGATATTTTCTTAATCCAGAAGCTGTGACTGTTCCCAGAAGAAACCTCTTATATCACATTTAAAACAAAAAATAATTACACTTTCATTCATTCTAATGGGTAAATTATTGAATTGTAATAAACAACTGTATATTTACAAACAGGTTTATAAGATATTTGTCTATCAACTTAATAGTAAAATAAAACTTATGGGGTCCACAAGGAAAACTATGAAGGCCACTTAAAGTGGTTCAGGTATCTCTTTGTCTTGTAGGGCATAGCTGTTGGTTTAGCCAGGCTTTTACAGTATTTAATTTTAAAGTTTCCTATAACTATCAACTTCCCAGGTTGAAGATGATGTGTTGAGTTTCCTACTGATTGATTCCTGTCCTCCCCAGTGTTTCTGTCACTGGTTCACTAAAACAGTATTTATATAGCTCCACTGGCTCTAAAGCTTTTAGTCCTTCTAACATTTTGGATTTTACAAGTAAAAATGGAAAAAAAAAAAAAATAGAAAAGAGACAATCAAATGCCTGGAGCTTAAAACAAAGTATGTGCAACCTACCATCTCACTTGAAATTTAATGAAATAAATAATTATGTAAATATAACATAGAGTTATAGATTTATATTTTGTTCATAACACATAGTGTAATATAAGTTGTATATTTTCATGTTTTTGGTTTTATGTTATCATTCATGCCACAATAAAAATAAAACAGGAGTTTATGTGCTCTTAAAAAAAGATGTGGGTTGCCACCAACCTGTTTTTTGTTTTTGTTTTTTGTTTATTTTATTTTATTTTTTTGCATTCTCCTTTTTCAGTATTACTGCCATGCAAGGCACCAATAAAAACAGCAAATGTGTTCTTTACCTATTATACTGTGTTTCTTTTCACAATTATTGTTATGAGGGTGTAATTATTAGTTTTATTATGAAAAGAACGAAAGTATGGAAATTTAATCTTGTTTTTGATATAAATAATCCCTCTTATTGAAGTTGACTTTGAGAACTAAAGGTTTAATTTTTAGCTGTGGATATTCCCGGAAAGACAGTCAGGACTTGATATAATGCGTTTCACTCAGACAGATCTAGCTTCACCATACTGTCAAAAGATACTGTTCTTATATGTAATTGATTCAACACAATTGAAAACCCGACAGTCGAAAGCACCTTTAATATTGTTGTTTTCCCTGGCTGGACACTATCCTTGGGTGGGGGATGGGGGATTTCTACGCTTTAGAATTGTGCTTTATCCTTTTGTTTGTATAGAAGATTTATAAATTTCAGATCATGAAATTACTAAGAACTATAAATAATTTTCACCTCGCTGGTATCTAATTTTGAATAATGGATATTTCTGAATTGTTTAACATTAGCCTCTGAGTTCTACCTTAAACTTTTTTAGTGAATGTTAAAAACAAGAAGTCTCCTTTCCTTTCAATGGCCATTTTTGCTTGTCTCTTCCACCATAATATGTTTTTCTACCTTGATAGTTCTCTATGTAATAGTTTCATATAAGGGTGTTTGGTTGGTTGGTTGGTTGGGTGGGTGGGTGGGTGGGTTTTTTAAATAGGTATCAAGACAATGGGTCAGGTAACATTTGGTTCAAATGAATACAAGTATATAAAAGGGTTTATTCTAGAAACACTGCCCACTGTGTCCCTTAACAGGAGTATTTTACAAAATCTGGTCCACAGACCACCTACTTCAAAATTAACAGTGAAAAATGTAGATTCCTGGGCCCAACCCCAGATGTAGTGAATCAGAATCTCTGGGGATAGAACAAAGCTTTTGCTATTTAACAGCTCTAAATAATTCTGCATACTCTTATGTTCCAAAACAATCGGGAGGTGGGGGTATTTTTCTCTTCCTCTGCCTACCTTTTCTTTGCATGTCAAATTCTGCAGCTCCTATTACCTACCATACTTTCTCTTTAGGCCTCTGAGAAAACCTTGAAACAGGGTCAGTAAGTAGGCAAGGGTTTGAGGTTTTAAGGAGCTCCCAATCCCTCTATTGTTTGGAGGACATGTGGTCCATCAGAACCACATTGCCACTCCTTGTTTCCCTGTCTTGTGTTGCCCATCATGGCAAAGCAGTAGACTTCAGAGACTCCAGGCAAGTGGAACACTACAAATATAACAAACATAGAAAACTACAACCCACTGAATATTTGCAAAACAAATTGAGGTTCTTTGAAAGGAAACTATCCATTGTAGGAGTTGAGCAGTAAACATTCTGTACAGTGTTTATAATGGACCACCTATCGCTACATTGGTCATGGTCTCACCCTATGTTTCTTCAGGAAATAACATTACCAGGATATGCTAAGTATTGTGTGGATGGGGAAAATCTTGCTTGTTTAGGAAACTTGGCTCACCAAGGTGGAAAGCCCCAACCACCACCCTCTTTCTTCTACCAAATAAAGTTTACTTGGAAACTTTCTTTTCTTGGTTTTTTGGTTTCTTATGTAATATTTACGACTAGCATATAATAATAGATTATTTTCCTATTGCCAATGCCTTGAACAACAAAAACAATACTGGCAATAGTGAAAAGAAAACACCTTCTTTTTTTAAAATCTCAATTTTGCTAATTTTAGTTGCTGGTGTTTGAAGTTCACGTATGTGTTTTTAAAATCAGTATACTGTCATTCTTACCAAATTTAAAAGTTCTGAAGTCATCTCTATAACTTCACATCATCATTGAAACCTCAGTTATAACAATGGAGGTGAAGGTAAGCATGAATTAGTTCAATGTCTGATTTAAAGAATGTTTATGAAAAAAATCCAATCTATTTTCTTGAGTTTCTAAAGCAATCTAATAGCTAGCTGAGAAGACCTGTTTTATAAGTAAGCATTGTAATTAGTATGTAAAGTGTATGCAATAGTATTGCTAAAAGTTCTCTAAAATAGTATGTTTTCTTAAGGAGGCTAAACATCTGTCCTACAATTTTAGTTATTCTACCAATTTGCTTAGCAAACTTTTTACCACAAAGAATGAATTGGTTCGGCTCTGTTAACAATATATTATCATTTTTCAATTAGGTCCAGATACATGAGATTTTACTCCCCTTATTGCCAGTTTCTAAAGATGCAAACAAATATGGAATGGAATGGTACTTTGTTGCTATTCAAAATATAACCAAGAGGATGAAATTTGTGTTATCATTGATGTCTCCACCCATACAATTTAAAAAGAAAAAAAACTACAAGAACAATTGTAGGAATTCAGTAGGCCTAAGTAAACACCACTATTTTGTACATTGCTTGTTCAATTTATTCTTAAATTTCACAATCTGGAAAGCAATCCTAATTACACACAAACTGTAAAATATATTTGAAATAAAGTCTTTTGTTTATAAAAATTACTGCTGTGATAACTTTTTTATAAATTCACGTGGTTCTGCAAGAAGGTAGGGGGACCCATAGAACATGTTTAGACAATTATTTACACCAAAGGCTGACTGTATTCAAGTTGCTCCAGCACTGGCCCTCAGTAAGGATTCTTTTTGCCCTGTATTTCAAACCTACAATTGTGTAGAGTACAAATTTAAAATTTTGGTTGTGTGAACCTAAGTTTCTTTAGTCTTAAATTTCTTTAGGTCTACAGTCAGTCACTAGTAGACCCCAAATAAATACATAAATTGTCATTTTTATTTGGAAATGATCCTAGCAACATTGTCTTCTACTGGGTGGGCATACATGAGCAGAATTAACAACCTGGTTTTCTATGGGCAGATTTTTGGGGTTTTTTGTTTTGTTTTGTTTTGTTTTTTGAGACACAGTCTCATTCTGTTGGCTGGAGTGTAGTGGCATGATTTGGGCTCACTGCAGTCTTCACCTCCTAGGTTCAAGCAATTCTTGTGCCTCAGCCTCCCAGGTAGCTGGGATTACAGGTGTGCATCACCACACCTGGCTAATTTTTGTATTTTTAGTAGAGACAGGGTTTCACCATGTTGGCCAGGCTGGTCTCGAACTCTTTGGCAGATGTTTTTTAAAATCTGGAAAATAGATTGAAATTTCTAGTGGTATACAATTTGGGAACAAAAGCATTTAACTATAGATTTCAAAGAGAAGATTTTAGATTGTAATCATTAAAGAGATCAATTTCCTCCTGACTAATCCCACAGATCTACAAGTTTCGATATTATAGCCTATTATGTCACTTATATCTTAATCTCTTGCTTATCAAATCCTCTGCTGGAGATACACCTTTGTCTTTTATTGTCATAGTAAAAACTTTAAAAGATCACTTAATTTTTTCAAATACTTCAAGATTCCCAAAGTTCATGTCGACAAACTCAAACAGCTTTCTAAATTTTACACTTTTCACACAAATTTTAAGCATATAAAGGTTGAGTTTGAATCATGGAAAGATTTTTAGACATTTTTATAAACAAAAAATGCAAGTCAGGGAAAATGAATGGTAAGAAAAAGGAACCTTAAGCGATTTTGTGGTTTGTCTTTCTCTTGTCTTAATGATTCAATATTTGGCAAATATTAAATGACTGCTGCTAACCTGGTCCATCTGACAATAAAAAGCCTAATTCTTGCCAAAGTTGATGAGTCACTGGTACCTTAGGTCATTGTGTTAGCTTATGTCAATTCATAGGCTCATTTATCCATTTCCAAAATTCGGTGTGACTTACAATAAATACACAGTTAACACAGCACAAATAGAAAAAAGATAAACAGTAAGAAATAAGGAATCATACAGCAACCCACACACTAGAGAAACATACACATGTGTGTATGTATATATGTGTGTATATACACATACATGCACATGTGTGTTTACACAAATATCTGCACATACAATAAGACACAAAAGTGTGTGTGTGTGTATACACACTGATGAGAACAACTCCAAGCTCTTATTTTCATAGCAGTTATAGTAAATAAGAAACTTCATGAATTAGAGAATTTGTATTGCTTAACTGAAAGAAGCATGCAAGTTTATAATGAAAAATAAGCCTTTCATTGCCATAAATTCTCAGAGGGATTTCACATTTAAGGAATAAGAAACAATTCAAATACCCATCTTTTTTTGGTAAATAGATACACAAAAGCTGTAGGTTTGTTTTATGTATGTTTATCAGTCCTTGAGCAGAGTTTTATAAAGACAATTTGCAAGGGGTCAGAGAGATAGTATACATATAGATAGATAACTGGATATATGATTAAACAAGAATTTACAAGGATAAAGCTGGAAGAATTGTGATTATGATGAATATCATGTCACCAGACTAGATTTTTAAACTATCAGGTGTTTCGAATTGAGTTTTAATTATGCTATGTGTAGCAAAATGATAGGTCTATACAAGATAGAAAACAATAATCCTTCCCTCAAAGTTCATAATGTGCAAGGAAATAAGACCAACACACATTAAGTAACAAAACAATATGAGATAATGATTAATGAACCAGAAACTAAGTGATACAGGATTTCAAATGAAAACAAGAATCATTTTAATATTTACTGAGACTTCTGCTTCCAAATAGTATGTAGTAGGTGGTAAATGGCCAACCTCTTACTGGAACTAGAAAAAGCTGGAAAATTACAAAAATTGTGTTTTAAAAACATTAAAAAGCTTTGGAAGAAATGAGAGCTAGATGAACCGCAGTTCCAGAGAAGCAAGAATCCATTCAAAGTGAAACTGATGATTGCTAGCCATTTGTATTTAGTGAAGGCATAAGCAAATTCTGGGTGTTGCTATAAAAGCTTTGGCAACTGCTGGAAGAAAGCAAACCAGCAAAGCAGTTGCGTAGCTCTAAAGTGACAAATTGGAGTCTTGAGGACCTGAAATGCAAGACTAGTTTTACTGATAACATACTTGATGAGTTGTGGGGCTTTGTGGAATGCTGCTGACAGTGTATGACAAAGCTTCTAAAAGAAAGACTGAAAGCATTTACTGCTTAAAAAACAAAGACAAACCAGAAAGAGAGGACCCACCTCAAGCATACAGCTAGTTTGCCTCTTGATGTTTGCCAGATTTCATCTTGAAGGAGTAAGGATACTAGAAAGTTGGGCTGGGAACATTGGAAGAGCAGATATGAATTCCCTGTAGTCTTTCACGGTTAAGGAGACAAATGCATGTTCACAAGCAAATCTTGGGAAAATCATGCCCTGAGACAAAATAAAGGATACCTGAGTACTACTAAACTGCCAATCAGCCTCAACACAGCTAAATCCCTGATAAGATTAAAGTGATCAGCTCTTTGACCTAGTCCTATTAGATGAGAAGGTATAATCAGAAACTCCACTCTGATGAAAGATTAAATCTATGGGTTCTTTGTAGTTAATTTTATATAAAATGCTTAGGAATTAATTTTTTAAAAATTAATACACAAAAATGAAAAGGTATTTTATTTTATATAAAATGTATTATTTATTTTTAAATATTATGTATTTATATTTTCAAAAATTAATCAAGGGAAAAGCAAACATTAGAAGCAGATATGCAAATGATACTGATAGTGATGTTAGCAAATAAAGATGTTAACATAACTACACCTAATATATACAAGAAAATTGATGAAAATCATCAAAATAGATAAAAAGGTGAAAGCTATAAATAATCAGATTGAAATGGAAAAGCACAAGATTAGTGAAAAGTAAAACAGTTTAATTTTAAAATATACATATTTATCACAAGACATACTTAAACTGGTGATTGTTGAGAATTTTTCAAAACCAATCAAAGATATTCTACAGATCAAGAAACTCAAGTAATCCAAGCAGTATAAACAAACAAACAAAGACCCCACATATAACATTAGGGTGAAACCATTGGAAACCAAAGATAAAGATAAATTTTTTTAAGTAACGAGAGAAAAGAACACGTTATCTTCAGAAAAGTGACCATAAGATCGACAGATGATTTCTCAATAGAAACAGTGGAATCAAGAAACAATGAAGTCACAATTTTATAGTGCCACAAGAAAATGTGTCTGACTAGTATTCTAGACACAACAAAAACTACTCTATCACAGTGAAGGTGAAATAAGATATTTTCAGATAAATAAGCTTGCAGGATTCATCACTAGCATATCTGACTAAAAGAAATATCAAAGAAATTTCTTCAAGCTGAAGGGAATGATTCTACATGAAAAATGGAACTGAAGCTATAAGTAAAGAGAATTGAAAATGATAACATATGTGTGTTAATATAAATGAGGTGAATCTGTATACAATCCCTTCTCAATTTTTAAATAAATATAGAATTAAATACATGACAATAATAATGGAAAGAGAAAAAGTTTAAATGGATTTAAAAGATTCTAAATTTCTAACAATATCAGGAAGTCAATGATGCATGCTCTGATCTCTAATTAAAAATAGAATGGTGAAAAAGAATGTACAACTAACTAATTCACAGAAGTGAAAAAAGAAATAAAAAATTTTGATCTAAAGGAAATTTAACTTGTCAGAGTGAATACAAT